TCGGAAGAGTAAGGAAGTTCTCCTTTTTAGAGACCACCATAGCCAGGTATGCTGAGGAATTCTTGCTTTACCCAGTGAAAACGTACCTAGTGAATAGGCACTAGTTAAGAAACACTGACATACACAGCTGTGCCAAAGTGACAGTCCTGACCTCATGGAGGAGGAGGAACAACAGTATTATATGATCACGTATGGTAATGCAGAAGCATCCTCCTCTTTTGTCTCCCTTTGTAAATCTGTACCTTGCTGTAGTTTTCATGACATTTTAACTCCATGTCTAAGAAAGGAGACTACAAAGGGAATAATCCTTTCCTTCTTGCTACACAGCTTGTCGCCCATCTTCCTCAAGAGAGAAAGCAACCAACCACTTTCAGCATGAAGCATAGCCTGTTTCACACGTACATTTACATAAACCTCACAAGGAGACATGATGCAAACAGGCAGAGCTCAAGTGGTGGACAGAGCAATAGGCAAGAAATAGGACAAGCAATTTGCATTTTTACATGTTATGTGGAACCTAGCTGATCACGATTCATATACAAATTACTCATACATAAACTGTGTTTATGCAAACATATAGCAGGCAGACACTAATATACGATACACTCTAAGATTTTGTGTATAACCGTATTTGATTTGGTCACCTATAGCCTACACAAGTTAGATGTTGTAATCCTATGTCATTACTCTATTTCAGAGAAAATTCAACTATACAACGGATCTCAAGACATTCTTATCAAATTGTGTCCTTCAACATCAATAATATTCATCGCTTTTCAGGGAAAAACAAAGCAGTCAATACCAACTAAATCACAGAGGTCAGCTTCCATTTGAAGATGCCCACAGAAGACTCGTGAAGTTCTTTTGTTTCTGAAATGGTCAGCCAGCAATGACTGCTGGCATGTAATCCATCATACATAGGAAGGGGAGAAGTAGGGGAGAGCAACAAACAAAGTTCTGCCCAGGAAGAAGTGTGTTTTCCAGACTCACTCTCCACAGGCAGGGAGTGAAAGAACTAACTAAGAAACATTAGTTAGAGGGAAGCCTTAACCCTGATAAAAAACACATGTTTTTCCATGACTGTACAAACATCTCTGCTCTAAACATAATCCTGTTAGTCCGTGGTTGGTCTCTATTTAGGAAATAAATAAATCTCTGTTCTCCTTTCTTTCTTGAGGATGTGGTTCCCAGCCCAATAAAGAGATTATACTTATGAATTTACTTTCCAGGGGCACTTGGGCTATTTTCCAAGTGACTATGCACCCTAATTTATACATATTCTACCACCTTATAGGCTACATTTCAGAGATTTGCTGTTTTCAGCATTCCAGAGCCTCGTCAGCTGAAAAACAGCCCCTTGCTGTTACAATGGCATCACTTCTGTTCACTTTATGTTCAAATAAAATGAAGTCAATGGGAGTTTTTACTCAAATAAACATGACAGAATACACACTACAACTATATTAGTAGCACTGTACCATAAAACTGAGCTGGGAACCCTTGGATAAAAATCAGTTAACTTTGTTAAGATTGAATTAGCTAAGGTGGCAGTATCTCCGCTAGCACAAGCAGTGTTTCG